CTAAGACCCATATTTAAATATTTTTGTAATTTAACGGATTATTAATTAAAACTTAAATTTGATAATAAATATTAATGTGTTTACCTCCGTATCAACGCGGGTCCTAATCTAGTACACGGGTCCTAATCTAGTATCTAATAAAGACATATATGTATTTGAACAAATTCTTAATCCACGTAAAATTATTTAAAATGACATTGTTTGTGAAACATAAGGAGTATGCTTTTATCCACCATGAATATATTGTTTCGAAATGACTTGATACCTTAATTATTTAATACAAAAGTTCTAATAATAGAGCAAAATAAAAATATATAAATTCAAAAATGGCGATACAATTTTGGTAGAATTGCGTTAATTAAGTTCTAACGCGACCTTAATCGTAGACATTGCTACTTGTGGTAGACCTTGCAAATTCAACATAAAAAAAAATCTCTAACTAAAGCGGCTCAAAAAAACTCAAAAAATAATTGAGTCATATGTCAAAATAGGTTTATATTTAATAAATCAGAAAGTTAAGTTTTTTATGTATAGTTTTAATAAATTTTGGACCCTTAATTGCAATAAAAAGTAATTAAAAAAAATGGGCTCTGGCATTTGCTCTTATTGCTCATGTCCAGAACCGCCAAACTTTACACATGTCAATAGTCAATACCAATAGAACAAATCTATAAACACTTTAACATACATAAACAAACCTAGATATCCAAAACCCTAGCATGCGATTCAACATTGGTGCATGTTGTGACAAGGTTTCATCTATATAAAAAAAATTTCCACAATGATACAAATCAAATTGTTCAGAAGTCGGTTAAGCTAGGGAGAAGAGTATTACACTTAACATGATGTAAAATCCAGCTAGAGATGGGAGACTCTCACGGTTAATAATCTCAAATGCTGACGAACAATTGACAGAACCCACTAGTGCAAAATAAAAATAAAAAACACAGAGCATTTTCATTGCATAATAATCATAATCGTGTCAAATGCTGAGAGCAATTGACAAAACCCATTACTGCAAAATAGTGCAGCCAAAAGTTTTTATTTTATCATACATGCTCCGGGTGAGAGAAATCACTAGATTACTCTCACCCGGAGCCTGGACACTTTGTAGGATCATTCTGCTATACTGATGCAGTTTGTAAGAGTGAGTCTTCAGCATGTGGACTAGGCTGCTGGTTCAAAGGCAATCCCAAAACAGAGGAGACAACCACTGAGTCTTCGGATACAAGGCAAAGTGTGTACTCAGCACTAGCGGCGGAAGCATGGGCTATGATTAAGGCCCTCCAGAACGCCCGAGAAAGAGGGTGT